GTAGGGCTTTCTTGTGTGCATGTCAGAGCTCTTTGCCATGTTGGATGCTGGTGATTTGTGATGCCTGTGAAGGATCGGAAGGAGGGGCTTCGGGGGGTCGGCAAAGCTGTAGTGTGAGAAAGTTCTGAAGGCGAACACTGGCTGCAGCTGATATGAGTCTCCCGGGACTTTCCCTCTGCTGAGGTCATTCCTCGCACTCCAACACTCGTACATCACTGCTGACATCACCACTGATCCTTGCCAAACCGTTGCCACAGGCAACACAAACAGGAAAAAGCATGTGTGTGTGTGAACGCTTGTTGTTAAATAAGACCATTAAACTCCGATGGTGTACTGAGTGACGAATGATGTGTTATACACAATCGTGCAAAAAAGCCTATCATCCATAAAAAAAAAAAATATACATTTAATATATTTCAATATTAGCTCTGATCCAAATGCCTGCAGCTGTTCTGCGTGTTTATTATAGGTGAAATCTGTATTAAATACACATTATGAAAATAGCTGTGCAATTCTTTTCAAGAAAAGACTGTGCTTTTCATTAAAACATGATGTTAACATGTGTTTAATGTGTCTCTGCATGTTTGCCTTTGTGTTGGTACATCTATGTGTGTGAGTGTGTGTGTATGCCTGCCGCCTTTCCTGCACCCCCTGCTGTGCCAGTCAATGCTTAGACTCTTGGGAAGTGAGGCGGCAGTGCCAGCAGTAATCAGAACTCTTTGTATCCACACACAGGGGCGAGCTATAATCAGGGAACGTTCTTTAAACAATAATAGCTGTAATCCTCTCATCTCAATATGATGTGTAACCTGCTCAAAACTTGGATTTTTGCAGGCGATTTATACCTGGCCCCCACCTTGTTTCAAAATAGATTTAATGAGCTTTCAAAGCCAGCTTTCATAATAATTGCTGAACCATAGAATTACAGCAGCCAGAGCTACAGAAGAAAAAAATGACAGGGTGGAAGAATAGCGATAATCTTCAGGGATAAGCTCAGCAATGCACAGCCCTTTGAAGAATACCTACAGAGAATCAAGCGTGCAGGACCCTCTGAGTATATGCAACTACCACGTGTATGCATACCCACAAATTCTTTTGATAGTAATATATACTATAGATGTATTCAATGTGACAACTAATAAAACTGATGGTCGATGCAGTGACTTCTGATTCCTTCACTCATTATATGCCTAAAACAAAGACTTCAGTGTTGGTTATTAGCAAAATTTTAATTAAATTTGCCAGGACTCATTCAGACAGAAGCATGCGTGCACACACACACACACACACGCGTGCACAAACACACACAGATATCTTGTTCCAGATGAAAGACGAAACTGGCACAAAAAAAAAAAAGAAAAAAGATACGACTGATTGAATTTTTGGAAAAAATACAAATGGGGGGGAAAAGAATCTACCTGCAAATCTTCTGCTTCACAGACTGTAGAATAAACTATTGTGGCAAAGCTGCAAGCACACCAAAAAGCAATTAGGCTGTAAAATGAAGAGATTTTTTAGCAGATTGCAGATTACTTGCAATGATAAAGACATTTGGTTTGCTACATAAATGCCCACTCAGTCTACACAGAGTATTAGCATCATTCGTATACCTTCTGAAAAACAATTAAGGTGAAAAACAGAGTTTAGTTTAAATTCTATTACCTTTCTTGCACGCAGCATAATTATTATTGCTAAGCATAATACTAAACATACATACATGTGTCACTGTGAACATATTTGCCTTTATTATAAGACTGTCACAAGTACTAGTCAGGGAGCAGATTACTTTGGACATCACCCCTGAAGCTCTGTGTGCAGCCATTGGTCGGTCATTAGACCCTGCCACAGTTGTATTCATGGGAAGAAAAACAAAGACTGCGTGAAATCCAAAAAATAAATTCAGGAATGTCTAACAAGGGATTGAGTGCCTCTCTGCAAGCAGCTGCAGCAAAGAATGCCTAAAGTCACAAAGTTCATCCGTATTGTTTGTAAACTGGAAACTTTACTAAAATTATTTATAATTATTTAACTGTAGACATAAACACTACAACACAGTACCACAACATGCAAGTAGTAATGTGTGCACTTTACACATGTGCGCACACATGTATATAGCAAACATATCCTCCTCTACTAATAAGAGATTTGCCAAAGTGAAGTTACTCTGGCAAATCTCTCATTTAAGGCCACAGAAAGTGTGATGTATTGCACATGAGCCGAGATAAGAGCAGAACCAAACTCAAGTTCTACTCTTATTTGATGGTTGCCATGTAGCCTACTTTCGCCCATCCACCCGTCTGAATATCTGAAGACCTACTGATATGCTCAACCAGATTTGGCTGGTTTGAATAAAACACAAAGAATGCAAATAACCTTTATGTTCGCTTCCAGTACTTTGGTTTCTCCTTGTATTTATCCACACTGACTTTATCATTATCCATTTAGTCCCTTTTTGTCAGTTTCTTTGACATCAGTCAGTTTTTTTGGTCTTGTTCCATAAATATGAGAAAGATCGTTGTACATGATGCACCGACACCACTGCTGAATGAATGTTATTACACAGACCAAAACAAATCAGGGCTTTTTAACGCAGCTCAACACATTTCACTTTTCTCCTGGCTGATTGTTGGTTGGCACACAGACAGTGCGATGTAGTATCACTTGTGCCAAGTGACACTACATCATTGGCTGTAGCCCTCAGTCCGCTTAGTGACATCATGATGTAAAACATACACACTTGGTCGACATCCACTACCACAGTATAAGAACTATACAGATTACAAAGCCAAAACAGGGCCACTTTTCCAGTCCATCACTGTTATGCTGTATATGTTTTATATATCAAAACATGCTTACTATGAAAAGCAAAAACTCATACACCCTAAAATTATAGTATTCACAGTGATGTCAAGTCACAAAGAGAAGCTATTCACACTGTAAACCCATTCAGCAGTGACCTCAGTCTTACTCATGCCACCTGCACTGTAACATCACCCCTCTTGCCTATATTTCGCACAATGATGCAGGCTTGACTAAAGGCCATAAGTAATATGAAAAGTAGCGGTACGGGCAGACGCAGACCAGCTGCACTGACAGAGGGAGATGGCTGAATTACACATGCACATATGGCAGAAACTGCATAGTCAAACAATTACTGGGAGGCTGTGGAGGAAATAACTGCTGGTGTTTTATCAATGTCCCCAATCTTTACCTCCCCCAATCGTGTGTGCTGCACAGAATCCGCTAAAGCAGATGTAAGGGGGACGTTTACCCCTTTAAATCATCGTGCATTCACGCAGCCTCGCCTGTTGCCTAATATTAATAATCAGCATACACCTGTTGCCATGGCACATGGCTCTGCCCTGGTATGGATAAACAGGCGAAGGTTGACCAGCTTTGGCAGAACATTGCAACAGTTGGCCTGCACGGCTTCTTCTGGCAGATAGATATATATATATTTTTTACTTCCAATTTCAATCCAGGAAACGGATTTAATTTCAAGTATAGCTTAGCAATGGGCTAATGAGCTGGAAGGCAGTAGAGTAAGGGACCGAGAGGGAAAAGGACTTGCTTTGACAGCTAAAGGCTTGTGCAAAATTTCCTATTAAAAACTTGACACATGGTAAGGCCAAAGCCCTCCAACAAGCACCGGCACCAGTTTTTCTGTGAGCCTAAATAGTGACGCCGCATGAGTGTCACTTCAATCGGCTTAACGCTGGCTTCACAGTCCTTTAAATGTGTATTGCATGTGTTTAAATGTGTGTACATTTGCCCATGTTCATTTACTGTATTTGCACGCCTGTGAACTTAAGTCCTGTGAAGGACTGTGTGTGTGTGTGTGTGTGTGTGTGTGTGTGTGTGT